CGCTCTTATTTCCTTATTAATTGAAAAATAACCTTAGGGGTAAAACCACTTGCATATTTAAAATAATTTTTGAAACATGAGAAATGTATAAAACTAAGTAAACCATTTTTGTTTAAAAACTTGTTTATATAGATACATTATTGGCATAATAATAGAATGAGGAGCTTGACTCCAGTGACACAATATTTGAGATAATAAAAAGATCTACTGCATACATACAGAATTTGGTTATTTTACTTGGTATGTAAGGTCTAATCATACAAAAACTGTTCATATTTGTATTTGTAGTCTTTGCTGATATATAAATATCTGCATCATCTGCATACATTTGACATTCAGGTAAACCATTAATATATAATGAAAAAGAAGTGGTCCCAACATTGACCCCTGAGGAACACCCATTTTAGTAATCTGATAAAATGACCTTATACAGCAGCATGTATTTTAGCATATTGCTCTCTAAATATTAGTTTCTGGTCTATATATATCATATTCTGTTCTGAAAATATGGTTAAATGCTTTCTTTCAGTGTTGTTTTTTTTTTTTCACAAGTCCTATTGCACTGAAAAGTAACGACAAACCTCACGCCAATAAGCCACATGAATTTAAGATACCATTCGTGTCAGTAGCACATACGGTGTAGGATAAGTTACAGTTTGCGGTAAAATGAAATACTTAGGATTAGAGCTTTCACTCTAAAGTAATAGAAATGTTCGCCTTATCAAACACCACTAATAAAATACACATTTTTTAAAAAATTTAAACTGACCTCAGTGCAGTCAGCAAAGTAAAATTTTTGAGAAAATTGCCGGCATTCAGATTTCGGATAGGTTTCCTAAAAAAAAAAAGCAAAACAATGAGCTCAAGTTCTTGAGAACATGGAGACTGGGTGGCCATTTTGTATGTTTGTCCTTGTCATTCAGAGTGAAGTAAACATCTGCTCTGTCTGTGCTTATGCTATTGTGAAGCAGCATTAAAAAACTACCCTCATCCCATAGCTGTGCACAGCTAAGAGACCTCAAAATGGACCCAAGATTGTGGTTTAAAAATCCATTACCGACCCATGGCCCACCAGAGACAGTGAAATGTGTACAGCAAACAGTGTGTCTTGTTAGAAAACCAACAGTGGAAAAAGCCTGTAGGAGATTGGAAAGGTTACAGGGAAAAGCATTATTGCAGGTCTTGGGAGAGAGAGCATGTTTGTATTTGTATGTGTTTGCTTTGAAGGTGATGTGTCAAGGAAAACAGGACTTTCCTTGCTCTCTTTGGAAATAAAAGATGATCTATTAAGTTTTATCTATTACTGTGAGTAGACATGCTCTAACGTTGAACCAACAATAAAGCAGTTAGCACATGTGCTTTAGACATGCTGAGCTATGGTGTCAGAGGTCAATTATATAAGAACGTCTTTAAGTGCACTACAGGTCAGAGAGAAAATGGTCAAACAAAAACTAGAATATGACTACTTTTTGGTGCAAGCAACCCTAACTAAAGGTACAGTCACAAGTACTGTTGCTCGGCAAAACCCAGTAATCCCAATTCGAATCTGTGCGATCTCGACATTCAAGTGAGGGACAAAAATTTAAAGTTTAAGTTTTTCACACAAAACAGAACCTGCTTGGTTTGATCATTGGAAATTCTGGCTTTTAAGTTTCTGAACACTCTCCCTGCTTTCTGTTGGTTGAACAAACTCATGGCATTGGTTTGGCCAATGTTGTTGTGTTGGGCTAGCCGGGACACTTAAATGAACACCGGCAACAAAGAAAATAGGAGACCGTATTTTAACACACTTCAGCTTTAAAGAAAGTACTGTGCACTCACAGTGAATTAGGCCAACTCTGCTTGGACAGCTGAAGCCCATCTTGGTCTTCGTCTCCGGAAGGCAGGCTGTTGAGTCGAGTCCAGTTGAGTGTGCTGTTGCAATTTACTGATGGCAAGTCTGCACTGGAGTTTACAACCACACTGTTCCTCTTCTCCACTGCAGATGGACAAGCAGAAATGTTGCTATCCTAATGTAGAGTACATAGTATGCTAATGTAATTACTCCAGCCTGTGGCTGAAACAGGGTTTGGTGGGATCTAGTGGTTTGCATTTATTTAAATGGCGGTTTGTATTTTTCAATAAGCAATTCAAGTTACACTGCTAGTGATTTTTGTCTTTAGACAATAACTGAATTGCATCTAATGCTGGGGACTAGTTTACTCCTCACATGCCCAGAGGAGGTTGACAGCAAAATGTTTTTACAATGCAAACAGGGTGGTATCTGGTCATAGGTGTGCCAACTTTAAACCTGAAACTATTTTAATAATTAATTCCATTGTTATTTTTAGCACGACAATTTATAGACCAGGAACTGAATTTCCTCCTCCAGATGACTTTAAGCACAGAGTTTAGCAATGTAAATCCAATGTAAACAAACTGCTGGGAGAAACCAAAAAGAAACCAGGATTTCCTATGTGATATTTCAGTATTTCTTTTTTAATAAATCTGCAAAAATGTCAACAATTCTGTGTTTTTCTGTCAATATGGGGTGCTGTGTGTACATTAATGAGGGAAAAAAATAACTTAAATGATTTTAGCAAATGGCTGCAATATAACAAAGAGTGAAACATTTAAGGGGGTCTGAATACTTTCCATACCCACTGTATATATATCTTTCTGGTCCTTGAATCTAACTGGCTGATAAGAGTGCGATCCTCCAACCACTTCACCGTTTGTATCATGTATCACTCCACTTGCCGTATTTCTCACAAAATCCTCTATAATTTAAAAAATAATACGGTTTTATGTCACGGAATGTAGTTTTAAGAGATTTTAGGCGAGAATGTATTTGTTTACATCTCAAATATGCGGTTTGTTAATAAAGATAACGTCTATTTGAAAATTAGCTTTTCGGAGATGTGAGCTCCAGGGTGTTAGCGGCCGTTGAGCGCTCATTAACCCGCCAAGAGCGCCTCACCTCGGCCAGATCTTCTGGAATTTGCTGCTGGCTCTGATGTCTCTATAGTGGTTAAACATGAGATATAATTAATTTTGGGTAAATCTCAGGGGCAGTCTTTTATTTGTTCCAGAGCAAATAGTTTTGGTTGAGGGCAAAATCCCATCACATTATATTTTATGTAACTTCAGTACTGTATATAACGCTGCCTTTGTACTTTTGACTGAATTGCCTAGTAACTTTTATGATGGTTGTTGTTTATTAAACATTATTATTCAATAAATAATATTTTATATACATAATATTTAATATTGGTAAACAGTGTGTGTGTTCGTTATGGTGATTTATTATCAATCACCATTAGATGGCGACAAGAGACTTTTTTTACGAGTCAGCAGTAAAGACTTTTATATTGAAAAATACTAGAGCACAATTTTAAACAACAAGGAAGATATTTTTACTTTCAACACCAGCTTGTCTGCAGCCAACAAATGCACTGAGCAGTGCTGTCATCAGAAATTACCCTAAACAGATGAAAGGATAGTACGAGCCTATTGGACATTCCAACTAATGTTCTATTGTGAATATGAGATTGGTCTGAAGAACGAACGCTGTATAAGATGCAGTTAATCACACTCGCTCAGTCAATCTTTCTCTCATAATACTCTACTCCACATAATACACAGCTTTTAATATAGTAATACAATAAGCTTTCAACTTATTTAAGTTATTCAACTCAAAGAAGCTTTTGCAACTCAGCGTTCCTTCGTGACATTTTTAAATTAGTAACGGAGGCTTGGGATCAGCTGTTAAACTGTCAACTTTAGAGTTGAATCTGTGGCAGAAAGAAGTAGTTCTGCACAAATGAGGGTTTTTAAAGACACTCCGTTGTTGTTTCTTATGTATTATACACTCATGCCGTTGAACTGTTATTTAAACAAAATATCACCCTCGTAGCCGCAAGATATGGCTGTATATCGGCACACTGTGATTACCTACGGCCGAATTACAGCCGTACCGATATACAGCCATATCTCACATCTATGATTGATATTGCTCATATATATATATATATATATATATATAATATTTTGTTTGTTTTAATATTTTGTTATTTGACCAAAAAGGAAGCATCATTTTTACGCTTAAAAATTATCATTTTACATTTATTTTAAACTTTATAAAGAAAGAACTTGCTGGTGTACCTTTGACTTTCTCTGAAAATGAGGGGTTGTGGAAAAGCGTGAGAGGTCTTTCACTGCATGACGGGGCCTTGCTGTCTGTACTTCTCCGCCTGGGCAGGTTGAGCTGGGAGTTGCCCTGCCCTCCTCCAGACACTGGCATGTCTTTGAAAATCTGCAGAGCCGAAAGGAAATTCAAATCAGCATGAAAATTTCAAAGCGCCACAATGATGGGATGAGTGTCTCCACAAAAGTAGAACAGACTGAAATGCTGCTACTGATGCTGGGAGGATATGACCCCGCAGATGTGTCTAGTCATAAACTGACAATTAGATTTTTTTTTTCTTCACTGAAAAAGCTATTCTTTTTTGCATACAAAAGTACTGTATGACAGCTATCAATCTGCTACCAGTGGCTGTCAGGCTCCAAAAGATACAAAAAAGGTCCCTATGACTCATACACTCCATTTCAAGTCTGAAGTCATAAGTTAGCTATGTGTGACAAACAGACTGACATTAGAGTTCTGTTCGGCACTGAATTCCTCCCCTCCACCAAACCGCTCAAATCTCATTTGCACATATGACTATTCTAGCATGAATCACGGTCAGTTTAATATTAAATGTTATGTTACGGATAAATTAATTGGTTCTCATGTTTCCTGCAACATAGCATGTTTAAATATGCACTGTAAAAACTGTATTGCAATTCAACTGTAAATTTACTATACTGCAACTCTGGTTCTTATTAAAATATTCACATACTTGATTCTCTGAAAAACGGTGCTACAGCCAGTTATTTGACTTTGAACTGTGTGTTCCGTGTCAGAACACACAGTTGCTTTTCTGTATTGTTAGCTTTATTGATAACAAAAATAGGACTGTAATAACTCATCAATAAAATCAACAAAAAATAATGGAAATGGTCCTCTATCTGGCAACCCATGTGAGCGTTAAGTCGAGGAGGGGCAGGAGAAACGACTCTCTCCAGACTCTCTCCATTTTGAATTTGGACTTCAGTACCAATTTCAACCACTAGCTGTCAAAATTATATAGTAAATCGTTTTTATTCATCATTTTTATTTCAATTATGTCATTCGCAGTGTTTTATGGGACTGTAGTGCTTCTTTCATTAATGGAAATTGATGAAACACTTATGTGAATTGAAAAGGATAATTGTGATTTTGTATAATTTATTAACTAAGGCTGCCCTCGACTAAGGATTTTTCTGGTCGACTAGTAGTCGTTCATTTGAAGCATTAGTCGACTAATCGCAATAATTATAATGAGCCTTTAATTGCCTACATAGCCTAATAAGCACTCAAGCACACGCATAAGGCTTGCCACAGTGCACCGGCAGAAGTAATGACTATAAATGCGTTTGGAGCGTTTGGACGTCCTGCCCGATGAACTGTATTACCATAGACTAGCCGTTAACGATCAGTCCATCATGGACTGCGTGACCTCGCCTGTGGAATTTTTTTTTTTTTGCCTGCGATTAAGCGACTTGTACAATTTTAGTCGACCAAGCCTCTTCTAGTCATCCTGCCCGATGAACTGTATTACCATAGACTAGCCGTTAACGATCAGTCCATCATGGACTGCGTGACCTCGCCTGTGGAATTTTTTTTTTTTTTGCCTGCGATTAAGCGACTTGTACAATTTTAGTCGACCAAGCCTCTTCTAGTCGACTATTAGGGGGCAGCCCTAGTATTAGTAATGTAAATGTTTAAATGTGTAATAGTGCCCCCTACCATATAACAGTAAAAACACAGAAAGCTTGAAAATCCTGTCAATGGCAGCGAAAGAGTTAAGGATTATGAGGTCCAAAAAAAAAAAAAAATTATTAATAAAAAAAAGAGGTGAACTTATGCACCTATGAATTTGCAAAAATATCAATAATATTCATTTAGAGTTTGACGTTTACAGTTGACGTTTTAATGGAGCTTACAAGGAATAAGAGCAGTTTGGGCACTATCTGCTATTATATGTACAATCTCACATTTATGGATCATACATGTTTGGAACAACATGAGGTTGAGTAAAAAACTGAATTATTCCTTAAGAATGCTGAGAAAGAAAGAAAAAACTTGTGAAAATGAATTTATGGAGGTCACAAGTCTTTATGCAAAGCTGTATGCAAACAGCCTATTGTGTGTTTGTGAATGAAAAGCTTTTGGAGGATCAGGTTTATGTAACAGTCAGTCTACACTTTGTTTCCTGCTGTACATAACTGTGTGTATTTGTTGAGAGATATAGGATAGGTAGCCATTCATGCTTTTGAGCTGAAGCTGAAAGATTCATTACAGGCTAACCTCATTCACAGTGGAACATATGTGTGTGCCGTGTCTTTAAGGGGATGAGACATGGGAAGGTTAATTGTACAGGTCATAGTGACAGTCTTGATCTTGAAACCCACCCACTTCACCCCTTCATGCAGGAGGAAGTGACCCTATGTCTTGTGACGGGGGGCTCATCTTAAGAAATCAGCCTTGAGCCGATTTGCATGTTGCCATGGCAACTACTCTCATCTGCTTTACCCTTTAAGCCCCTGCCGGGTTTGAAGTTACCTTTTACAGCAAATGCGGCCTGAGTGAGTCCCTCCGAAAGGGTCTCGCTGCTGGATAAAGCCCCTTTTAATAGAGCAATTACATCCTTCATTCACACCTAGGTGCGAGCAACACAGCTTGTACACTTAAAAAAGAAGTAACCAACTGACAAAAACAACCTAATGAGCCATTTAACTCATTAACTCGCAAGTTTCATCGTTACCAATAGAGTTAAATGGAGCTAACAACCATAGTTATTTTGGGAAACGCACCCCTGGTCAGCTAGTAGTCATTCATAAACATACCCGTTCGTGGTTCTCGATCAGGATTTCTACCACAATGTTCTGGAACTTGATGTCCATGATTGCAGCAACGGTCTCTTCCTGTGGCCTCAGCAGCGTAGGGCCGAACACTACGCCGAGGTTAGCAACCGTCATCAAATTTTGCTGGTGGTGACTGGCCACTCTGATGAGAGAGTAAGACATCTGAAGTCATTTACTTCTTATTGTAGTGTAGTGCTTTTCTGTATAGTTAGCTTTATTGATAACAAAAATAGGACTGTAATAACTAATCAATAAAATCAACAGAAAAATAATGGAAATGTTCTTTGTTAAATTTGCTGTAAAATATTACGCATTCTTAGGTTCCACTTTATATTAGGTGGCCTTAACTACTACTGTATGTACTTACATTTAAAATTAATCAGTTGATACAATGCACTTATTGTGTACATACATGTCTTTACATCATACTTATATATCTTTTTAAATACCTGCATGTAATTACATCTGCAACTAATTGATGTAATTACATTTATAATTACACTGTTGACCCATCCCTTACACCTTAACCCACCCTTAAACCTACCCATACCACTAAACCTGTCCCTAACTTTACCCGTATCCCACCTCAGTAGCAGCAAAAGTGTTTTGCAATACAATACGAACACAATAAGTACATTGTACTTTTTTGATGTAAGTACATAGTAGTTAAGGCCACCTAATTTAAAGTGGGTTATATAAATATGATATATAAATAATATAATATAAATGTAAATGACTAAATAAATATAAAATGTATTTAGTAAATTTACCATACTTGAAATCCTAAAACACACACAGACACACAAACTGACATAGAAGATCACTGATGATCGAAGACATCACTGAACCCTATAAAGCCTACTGTATCATACTTGATACACAAATATCTAAGGCTTCCAAATTACTTGAACAAAACTTTGCTGAAAAACCTGTTGTACTTCTACGTAATGCCTTCTGTTGACTGATTGAACGTTTACACTTATTAGCAAGTAAAGGCTTTTAGGATCAATCTAAAAATATCCGTCTTCAGGTTGTGGTACATGGTAGGCTTGCCGCAATAGACGGTGCTGACGGTGATACCGTTGTTAAGCCGCAACACCGGTTACGTCACTTGCCCACCGCGGCACCGACCCCCACCATCGTTTTGATTTGTCGAGCTGACTGACAAGAAGAGTGAGGTGAGACAGACAAGACGATGGCGGATGATTTAGTTTCGAAACGAAATGCAAAAGCACTTGTTTGGCAATATTTTGGATTTTTAAAAGCCTGTTGACATTTGCCGTTTATCTAAGGTGATTTTGGACGTTTTTTTAAACATTAGTTTCTTATTTAATTGGTTCCACATTGTTTGCTGATTTTTACTTTATTTAAACTTTGTGTCATTTATTTATTTTATTTGACATCAAGGTGTATGCGGTGCCTCCAAAGCTTTCTTATTCGTTTTGCTAATAAACGTTCTACGTTTCTTATTTATTTGGTTATATATTATAGTCTACATGTTTACTTGTTTCCAGTTTTGTATACCTATTTAAACTTTATGTAAGTTATTTGTTATTTTATATTAGGCATAGCCTGCCCTATAGTATGGTGTATTTTTATTCGTTTTGTTAATAACATTTCTATGTTTTATATATAGGCTAAAGTGAGTTTGACGTTGTATTTTGTAGTTGCATTCAAGCAATTGACGCCGAATTGCCGGAAGTAAAATGCGCACAACGATTTTAAGCTATTTAAAAGCGAAGGAAAGCGAGGAAAAGAGGGAAAATTCAAACTAACTAAAATCGAACAATTGCTTTACGCCGAATTGCCGCTATTTGAAAGTGAAAGTAAAATAAGCTCGCCGTTTTACAAGCGATTTAAAAGCGAAGGAAAGCGAGGAAAAGAGGGAACGCCCCCGCCCCCGCCCCCGCGGTGATACCGGTATTATCCGTGTTGTCACACGTCGATTAACCGGTGGGAACATTTCCTCACCGTCACAACCCTACTACATGGGTCTTTTTGCTGTAAAATCTTAATTATTGGCTATTCTTAGTAATATTTTTTTTATCGCGTTTATTACAATGCGAGTTTTGAATATGATACATCAGGTTTTTGAGAAATGAATATTTGTACATTTTTCAGTCATTGTACTGCATTGCATTATGTTAAAACTACAGAGCTTTGATCATGAAACAAAGCATTTAATTTTCATCTTAATAAGACATATTATTGGGAGATATACAGTAGAGTGACAACTGTTTTTTCTATGCATTTGATATAAGTTGTCTGCTATACTGTTATAAAGATCTCATTGATTTACATTACAAGATATCAGAATTGTATCTTACTTTATGGGCATATAAATATCAGCAAACAATTCTCCAATATCATGAGCCATAAAAGCATGATATATCAAATATGAAAAAAAAAAGATTATGTCAAAAGTTTCAATAAACTGTTACAGTACATAAAAACAGGTCAAAACAACAGGTTTTAAACTAAAGCATACTGTCTAATTAAAAAAAAAGGACAAGGCATGTGATACGCCCCCACTTCAAGTGATTTCATGTGGACTTTAATGGTGTAGCTTTTTAGGGTTTTGAACCTGCAAACTTTATAGACTGTCGTCTGGTCAGATATTAAACTACTCTTGCAGTTACACAAGTATTAGTACATTTTATATTATTTCAATAGGTAATCTGAACATTTGTTTTTATACTGATTGTGGCAAATTAACCTCGAATCAGTATCAAACAGCTGTAATGTTTGTGAATTTGATGAGCAAGCTAAACAGTCCTGCTGTAAATGATGATTCAGTGTCAACAGAACCCAAGGTAAAACCTTTACAATTATTTCTTCTAAGCAGCATACTGTCAATATTAAATGATTCCCTTTGAACCTTGTTTTTCACTGCTACTGTCTCGATGAAACTAGTCATTCCACACTACAACATCATTTCCAAACTTGTCCTGAGGGCATACAGCAAGTGAGGCATTAAATCCGCATGCAAAGTGGGTATTAAACTTCTACTTCCTGTAATTCTTTTGGATTATGAATCTGATCTTTTGCATCAAGCTGCGTAAAGCATTTTCACTCTGGAGTTTTCCGTAAAACTCCAAAATACTCCTCGATCTGCCAGCATCACTGAGGAACGGCTCCGCAGAGCTCGGCCGTCAGGGTGTCAAATTAAACTCGCACAAAAGAAAATGGAGCTGGGAACGAGAGATGGAGGAAAGGACAGGTGAAGGAAAACAAGCCACTCTTTTCAGCTGGGCAAACACAAAGGGGAAGTTAAGGCCTTTATTACCATCAGCAGGGTTGTGGTTTTTACAATGGAAATCCTCTTAGGTCTTTGCTGGATTTGTATCACAGTAAAAAGGGGGCGTCAACACCAAAACTTACTTGGCCAAGTGTTTCATAAGAAGCTCCAGCATCTGGCGGTTCTTCTCCGGGAGACGGTGCACTATGGAGTGGATCTCTGCCACTCTCGCCTCGGGATTGTCCAGCTCTAGGAAGACATAGAGAAAGAGGAAGCGAGAGAATAAGCGGTTGCAAAGGAAAAGCACATTTCCTTTTGCTCCGCATGAACTGTAGGCGTTTTACTGCTGTGTTTGACTCAAGTGCATTCGCAGCAGGAATGGGAGTCCAGTCTCACTGTGTACGTTTTTAAGTAGATTTTAGCGTTCACAGACACATATCAGAACTGATACGTTGCATGTGTTGCTGATGTTGTGAAACAGAACAAAAGATCCCATTCCTGATTCTGTGAGGTCACTTCCTGACACAGTCTGGACCCACACAGACACGTTATTCCAATTAAACTGACATTAATGCTCACGTGTTTGTGTCTGCCTTGTTGTAAAAGCACAGTGCCACCTAGTGTTAGTGACGGCTACAGCAGTGTCCATTAAGGGCAAAGCTAAGCTGCCAGATGCGGGCTCTTAAAGGTCACTGAAATATTAGAGTGATCTATCTGGCTGCCATGATATCCTAATAATCCTCAGTATCAAGAGTACAGCGAGAGAAGAGAGGTATAAATGAGGTTGTTTAGACATGACAAGGGACAAAAAATAAAATACAATTAAAAAATTGCACTGCAAAAAAATATTTTCTGGTTTTCTAGTGTAAATATTCAAAATTTTTAAATCAAGATTTAACTTAACAACACAGCAACATTTAACATTTACTTAAGAAGCAAAATGACTTAAGATATTTAGTCTTCTGTTCCAAAAATTTTACTTTTTTTTTTGCTTAAAAAAATTTAAAAAAAATCTGCCAATGAGGCAAGAGAAATACTCTTGATTTGCTCTTGAAGTAAGATTATTCGATTATTTCTCTTACCCCATTGGCAGATATTTTTTTCTTGTTTTAAGCAAAAATGAACAGAATTTTTTTTTTTTTTCAAAAAACAAGACTTAATATCTTTATTTTGCTTCTCAAGTAAATGCATCTTGATTCAACAATGTTTATATTTTTACACTAGAAAACAAGACAAAAATACTAAGTAAGACATTCATTTTTGCAGTGTGTGCATAATTATATTTTTGTAGCCTCAACTTCATTGCTTCATTGGAGATGCCACAACCCAAATTTAAACACAATGCCTGCAACAGCACCACAACTGTTTTTTTTATATAACATGGTATAAAATGTTATTATAAATGTGTGTATTATATATGTATATATATATATATATATATATATATATATATACACACACACACTAATTATAACATGTATATTTATATATTTATAGTGTATATATATTCAACACAAGAATATATTGTCTGAAAACAAGTCTTATTATCTTATACACAAAATATAGATTAAAAAAATGATCTGTTGATAATACAAAGCATTCAAATATTGAACTGCAAAAAAGACAGCACATAACCAGACCAGACACTAGATATTTGGTCATGTTGAACAGAAACCGAACCTTTAGACCGCACACACACATTTTCACACTTTGATTTTCTCTTCTCATCCAGTTACATACACATTCACATCGTCTCTCACTCCCGTATTCCCATCTCTCTCTCTCTCTCTGCTCATGGGCAAACTCCAGATGGCACCTTGCTCTTTATCACATAAATGGCTCACATAGACAGGAATGAACTAGGGGAGGGGTGGAAAAAAAGAGAGAAAATGAAAGGCAGAAAGGGAGGGGTGGAGCTCTCTGAGAAAAAAAAGTTCATATGAGGACAAGGGCCTAACGTCACCCTTAAGGACTGGCCAAAAAAAAGCACAGAAAGAAAGAGAGAAAAACAGAGACAAAAAAGGGAACGATGGTAGAAAGCAAACGAGATAAGATGAAGATAGCATGAGAAACGATGCAAAAAAAAAAGCATTGTAGTAATCAGTCTTGTTTTCATGTACAAAAGTATCCAAACATCCTTAAAGCAAGATGCACTTACTTGAGCAGCAAAATTACATTTCAGAGAATATTTATTTTAGTATTTATATCTGTAATTATTTTTCTTCCCAATTAGTTAAAAACCAGTTTTAATAATTAATGAAATAAATGTAATAATTAAATATTTGAAATAATTTTAGCAAATAGTTTTTTTTTTAAGTCAAAATCTAATAAAATTGAATTAAGTTTGTGTTTAAATCTAAATTGTGAAATTTCTAATTGAGGTCAGTTTCTTTGCAGTGTGAAAATCTAAGTTTATGGTACAAAAGACGATCTGGAAAAGAAACAACATCCCTTGGTGTCTCAGACGAAAGCCGCCACACTGTAAATCCATTTTCATTCCTCTACACCTCAGTTTCTTGTTTCTGACCGCGTCCTATTAGCTTGAACACTCCTACTCTGCACTGTGTCTTATCAAATAGTCGAACTATAGTCAAATAGTTCCAAATAGTCAAAATAGATCAGAGGAGGGGAAATAAGGCCAGAGCGGTCCAACCAGACACTCACTGGCTGCTTTGATGAAGCTCCTCTGGTACTGGTATGTCATGAGAGGGGCCGGCAGCATCCTGATAGCACAGAAGAAGAGAAGAGATTAGCGATTAGATAACAGACCGAAATCGACAGTCAGACTCAAAAACAGAAGATATCATGGCATCGAGACAGAGTGAACTGAGAATATTTGGATGCATGAGGATTATATGTCTTCCTTTACCGTTTTAAAGTCGTATACTACTTATTTGCTAACTTCCGAGAGGTTTTATTTTTAACCTGCAGACTAATTTGTAGATTACTATTAGCATTACATGAATAATCAAGACTGTGTGTTAGACTGTATTTTTATATTTTCCGACAAAAACGTAAGTGGTAATTGCAATATCTATATTTGTATATATTTTTTTATAATTTGCTAATTGCTAATGCCAAACTGCCACGGTGCTAGCATGTTGTGGATGGTCGCCAGGCTGGTGTCATGAACACATGGGTTGCCAAGCTCTCCCTTGTGAAAAAGAAGTGTACTTATTAATTGTATTTAATGTGCACTTGCAGTGTACTTCAAATCTTAAAAGTATATTTAAAAAAAGGCAGCAGCTATTTGCACTGTGTTAAGTGTTAATAGCGATAGAGGCTATTTAAACTAAGTGAAAATAGTTTTGTTTTTGCGATATGCTATTTACACTAAGAGCAAATAGCTATAGATTCTATTTACAATATGTTAGCAGGATTTTCTGTTATTTATACTATTTATTGCAAATAATGGCAATTATCTGCATCTCAGTATTGTAGTACACATTATAAAACAGTATGCAATAGTGTAAATTTTGAGTGTAAATTATAATTTTAATTCAAATTATTAAATGGATGCCACCTTATTGGGACAATAAAACCCTCCTTTACCAACCCGATAGTTTATTTTCAGCTTTTCAATTATTTCCTTCATTTTTATTGAAAATAAAATGCCTTTCCGATGTGATATGAGATTTGAAAAGGGAGAAAAGAAGTTCGGCAAAATGCTGGTTCGAACCGGGTGTGCCTCACACGTCCTGAAAAGTGAAGCTGCGGGCTCTTTGATCGCCCCCTGGTGGCTGGCTGCAGTACATGTCATAAACCCCGCCTTCTCCATGTAAACGAATGGGACTTGAGTCAAAATAAAAAAATAAATTACACTTCCAATACAATTTTCCGAAAGATGGTTTTGGTCATTTCAGGTAGTTATTACACTAACATATATTCACTTGTTAATTTTTGTGATAAGTTTGATTTTAGCTAGTAATTTGATACTATAAAAACGGGGTGTGTCATTACGGTTGATTGGGTCTGCGGGAGTTTGGGCGGGAGTTTGATACCGCGGCTCCACCTCACAACACTGCTGCGCAGACTCGGGCTCCAAACGAATCTCTACTGCGCAGACTCGGGCTCCAAACGAATCTCTACTGCGCAGACTCGGGCTCCAAATGACGTCATTTACTCAAGATGGCAGTGGCCATACTGAGATTCTTTGGCTTCACTTTTCTATAGTGGAAGGAAATGGAGACGCGTTGTCCATCTTTTTTTACAGTCTATGGTTCGAACCCGGGTTGTTCGCGTCAAAAATGACTATGGCACGCACTTTACCATCTGCATCACTGGAGCTGATGTTTGATAGCCATCTTTTGTAGTGTTGACTAGCCCAATAACACTTTGATGGGCGGAGTTAGTATAAATAGCCTCTTCCAACAAAGCGGGCTATTTGCACTTAGTGTAAATAGACACTCTGTTAAAGAAATGAACTTGCAGATAATATAATATTAAAGAAATAATGTCCAGATAAGTGTACTTTTGCAAGTGTTTAAGTACACTTTCATGACTATGTTTCTTAACACACTTAAGTACATTTTTAATTAAAAAATGTTACTTATCATTATACATACTTAAATCATTACATCTCAATAATCTTTTGTCATGCCGTAATAAAAAATACTAAATTTTAATGTTTAAACTAACATACTAAATCATATTCAACATAATTATGCTTTCAACTGTAATGTTATTTGATTACAGTTAAAATTAATATATTTTAAATGCACTTTGAATGTTCTATAAATACATGCAAGTTTCCATAGAAGTGACATTAAAGTATATTTTAGTTGACCATAATTGCTTGTCGGTACATTTAACAGTGCACTTTAAGCATATTTCAAACACTTAAGTAGTTATGAAATTACATATAAAGATGTACTTAAATCCCACTTACTGTAAGTGGGTAAGAAACTCGACACACTCAATATATGAAGTCTTAACTTTGTAACTACTTATACGGGTAAATAAAACAAAGTTATATGACATTAAATATTTCTCATTCTTCAAATGCTCAGCATAGGCCTACTAGCTTAGCATACTGCTAGCTTGTTAGCGTTCTAGTTTATTAAATCTATCATCTTTGATCATTTGTTAAGACCATGCAAATAATAAAAAAAGTGATGCAATAAACTTAATTATACAGTATATTTAATATATTTATTGTAAATCATATTTAATAAAATCACCTGCTGTACCATAGAGAGAACAGAGAAATGATTCAAACGTTTATTTTGTGGGTTCTTACAGTATGTAGTTGCCAGAGTGTTTTGCATGATATACTTACCCTGTTGAAAAAACTAGCATATGCTGGTTTTTTCAACAGGGTAAGTGAACAGCCCTGAGTATAAGCAATTGTAGGACTGATGCCTTAGCGGTCAAACTAACTTTTGAGACTGCAGGAGCCAGTTAAATTGAGACAGCTAACTCACATTTTGTGTAATATAGCCTGGTTGTTGTCATGTGGTCATGTGTGAAGGGGGCAGGTTGGTACCTGAGGTAATGCTTTATTGCACTGGTGATGGTCTTGATCTCCCATTCTGTGCTGTCCAGCTCCACATCTGCACAGGTTTTGGGGTCTAGAGGAGAGTATTACGGTTAGACGGCAGATTTAGTTTGCAGGTGACCTCTGTTGAACCTTTGGAATTACCCACTCGGCACAGTGCCAGTATGTGCCAGCAAACTGCATATGCGTGCTAGCAACAGCCAATCAGCATCAAAATCGCAAACCGTTTCCTAAAGCAAAACTGTCAAAGTATATCATTTTCACTCTGAGGCAGGCAGTTAAATACTGGTGATCTGGTGAGTAACACAACAACATCAAAGTCTATTCATTCTGCTTTCACTGCAGGGTGTGACGACATTCTGGTCACTTTTTGCGTGTGAAGAGGTTTGCGTTTGTACTTAAGCAGCTGAGAATAATGGTTCCATGCAAAGTGAAGTTTACACACAAATAGGCCTACAATACTTCAAATAAGTCTGTATGATATTAGTTGAGGCAGATGTGCTTTGAAAGTGCAGTAAAAATATTGTAAGATGGGAGGGGCATGCATGAATTTTGGCATAGTGACCAAAAGCAAGCTCGATGCATTGTAATCAACATATCTGTCTGTACAAGAGCAATGCATCATGAAAAAACTAGGTCGCTCACGTAATAATCAATATATCTGTCTACACTGCATGGGAGTAATGCGACAAACCAAGACACATTCCATTATAAATCAACAAAGCTGTCTACAGTGATAATTCATCTGACAATGTGACAGCTAGAGCGCTCACATTACAATTAACAAAGCTGTCTGAAAAAATGCAAGTGATCACTGTGACAACTAGTTACCAGGGTCAATGACAAATAAGAATATCCATGATAAAGAAAAGGAAAACCTATTAAAAATCTAGTTTAAAACTATTTTTAACACACGTGTCAATTTCTTAGAAATGTACTCTTCTATACATGCTGGCTTTATATGGTTTTGAAGAACCTTTATATTATTTTCAAATAAAAAAATGTTTTTATGACACGTGGTGTAGCCATCATGTATAAAGTAATAACATATCGTAGTGTGTGTTTAAAAAGAATTCTTATTATGGAAATAATACACTTTAAAAGAATATAATTAAGTGTGAAATTGAATGTAATGTTTTCAAACACAATTGCATGCCGTTTGCAATTAAAGGGATAGTTCACCCAAAAATTAAAATTCTGTCATTAATTACTCACTCCCATGTATTTCCAAACCTGTAAGACCTTTGTTCATCTTCGGAACACAAGTTAAGATATTTTTGACGAAATCCGAGACCTTTCTGACCCTGCATAGACAGCAACGCAACTGACAACTGTAGGAGTGAATTCTAGCACTGTGATTTTGGCTATTCCAATAAAGCATTCGGTATCCAACAAGAACATAATACTGGTACAGTGCATTACGATATTTCTATAAATTCAGAAGAAATGTGAAAAAAGTGTACATATTCTAAGTTTCACTCTCAGGGCAGACACTGTGTTACTCAAAACAGTTTTAAGGCTGAGAAATTGTATATGTGACATTTATGGCTGAAATTCTTTTTCATGTTAATCTCCTGGTTTCATTAAAACAAAATGACCACCAGCAGCGGAGTGCTGATTCTCACCCATGGCCAGGCTGAGTAGTTTCTGCACTCTAGAGTTGACACCGACGATCCTGTATAGCCCCTGTTCATCAATGCCTGTTAGAGAAAACCATAGACTGTCACACTTACTCATGTACTGGTCACCATCTGACCTCTATTTCTGAACAGAAAAACAACAAGAGGTGTACCTCTGGTTTCTATGGCATAGATGAATTTTTTTACAACATTGAAGCCGATGACATCTAATTGAGCCACTTAAATAGAAAGTTCATTGGGAGAGGGAAAAAAAAAACATCAATACAACTTCATGGTAAAACAAACAGTAATAAACAACATGAAACCAGCATGATAAGTGTGTACGATTCTGTGATTCAACTGAATTGTTTGTTTTTTTATATAATTTAAAGGACTGAAATAGCACTACTTACTAGCTTCATTCTGGCTGTCACGATTCAGGGTGTATACCTGAGAGACAACACATTTTGGTCAAGTAAATGGCTGTTAACACAGAACAGCTTCGGGAAAAAAAATCTACATAAAATTTTATGGTACCAGCTGAGAAGCCATCACAGCACACAATTTTACATGCATAATCTGTTCACTAAATGCTTTTGAAAAGCTTTGTCACACTAAAAGAGTCATTTAGCATGCTAAGACATGGTTTTGTTACAAAACCTAGTGAGCTGCCTAGTACATAGGCAGCATTTTTGGTGAGAAGGCAATATCAAAATACACTACAACAACAGTGGATGACTCAAATGTGGATTATGAATATATTGATATAATTCTATATCCATCTATAAGCATGACAACCCTCAGAATATTTTAAGCATGCTCCTGTGTGTGTGTGAGATATGCTGCTGCTGCATGAACAGGCATACATAAATCCAGTAGCAGATCTAGACAGGTGGAGCTGGGGGAGGTGGAGGTTTTCAGAAGAACTGCACCATTTAGAGTTTCATGACTGAACTAGATATTTAATTCAAAGCCAATTAACGTTGATAAAAAATATTCAAATAAATAGGAAGTTTACTATTTAACAAAATATTTGTGTGCTCTATGAATTTTCATGCTAATTAGGGCCTAGCAGCATTCTAACAGCAAACTCTATTGAAATCAGTTTGTTGAGCGTCCTGTGTGTTTTTGTGATAAGCACTAATTGAGCTGATGCCTAAAGAATGTTTCATCAGTAACTGATAATGTTCCATTCAATTAGCATGCTGCCCTTAAAGGTCTATGTATGTAGTACTCTAGTGAGGCAGCTTACTAGATTATGGAACAGAGCCTAAATCATCCTACATTATACATTACAGATTAAATTATGAAGCCAACACTCAACTAAACCACTACATTTGAATCCAGATAAAAAAAAAAAAACAGGCTAAAGGCCCGAATATGCATATTTATGAGACACAATATGTCCCAAGAATATGCATTCAAAATGAGAATGCACTTTATCTGATGCACAGCAGTGCCAAGCATGTGAAATGCTCTTAAAGGGTTAGTTCACCCCAAAATGAAAATTCTGTCATTAATTACTCACCCTCATGTTGTTTCAAACCCGTAAGACATTCGTTCATCTTCGGAACACAACTTAAGATATTTTTGATGAAATGTGAGAGCTCTCAGACCCTGCATCGACAACAATGCAACTGTAATGTTCCCAGGTCCAGAAACATAGTAAGGACATCGGTAAAACAGTCCATGTGACATCAGTGGCTCAAAAATACTTTCTGAGTGCAAAGAAAACAAAAATAACATAATTTATTTAACAATTCTTCACCCCGGAGTTACGTCTTCCGCCATTTTGGAGACTTCCCAAGAGCGTAATCGACGTAATCAGCGTTGTTTACGTTTTCGTCGGAGAAAACGCGCGCATGAACGTAATCTGCGTAATCAGCGTTGTTTATGCTTAGGGGAAAGCGTGCGAATGTGTTGTGATACTCTAAAATGGCGGAAGACGTAACTCGGGGGAGAAGAATTGTTGAATAAATTATGTTAAATTATGTGTTTTGTTTATTTTGCGCTCAAAAAGTATTCTCGTAGCTTTGCAAAACTGATTTGGACGGGTTTGGAACGACATGAGGGCGAGTAATTAATGACAGAATTTTCATTTTTGGGAGAGCTATCCCTTTAAGATGAACCCTATCATATTAGAGAGCGAAACAAATTTCCGATGTCTCAGATAAAGTACCGGTTCTCTTCCGTCCATGGCTTCCATCCAGAGTCTGCGGTCTTCCTCTGACAGCGCCTGCATGGTGATCACGCCAGGCCTGAAACATGCACACATCCACACGCAAGCATGCACAGCGGTACAGTCAACATGCACACACACACACACACACACACACACAAAAACACAATTCTCCTGTGATGCATGTATATTTACAGGACACTGTTAGTTTAAACACTAGTGAGCGTGTGTGTTTGAGGAAAATTTATTTTCTTAAAAATCCTCAGAGGCACACTTGTGAAAAATAATTGTGCTTAATTGTATTCAATATGCACTTGTTGTGTACTTTCAATCTTAAAAGTATAGTTTGAAAAAAACTGTACTTGCAAATAATATAATAATAAGGAAATAAAATGCCACTTGCACTGAAGGTGCACTTAAAGAGTACATTTTTATGATTTATGGTTTCTTTACACACTTAAGTACATTTAAAAAAAAGTAATATTGTCAAATTAAAAGACATTTTATAATCTTAAAGTAAGTAAACTTATTTGCATGTGTTGAACATATTAAATCACATCTAAAGTTCTTGAGTATAATTTTAACTAAACTTAAAAGCAATTTAGTTAAACTAATTGCATAATACATTTTCATTTAATTGTCAGTAAATTGCAATTAAGTGTTCAGAAACAATGCATTTAATTTTTACCAAGTACAATCTTTTGAAGTACAGTATTTCTGTAATAAGTACTCTTTTTTAAGTATTCTATAAAGTACTTTTTCACAAGTGTAAACAAACACCCATTAACTATTCACAAATGTATTTTACACAAAACACACTGCAATTTTACAATAGCCTCCTGCTTTTCTGATTGCAAACTCACAAAAACACTATCCAAACACCTTCCCATATGTCGGCTTTGCCAATAAAAAAAAAGGACATCACATACACAGCATCGCATACACAAAATGACATCGTCTCCCACACCAGCAGTGCACTACCACATTGTAAATTCATCAGGGTTTTCTGACCACAAACTCAATTAAACGGACCCAGTTCTATTACCCTAACTCTGCCTGACCTGGCATGGCCTAACCTTCAGTTGTCACGCGAGATAATGGTGTGTGAGTGTGTGCTTCTGATTTACTGATAGAGCTGCCATACTGAAATATTAAGAGGTTTTCCAACACACGGCACCGCAAACTGGCTCTCGCTGGCTCTTCTATGCTAAAGCAGAGAGAGGGTTTTGCTTGGTAAAATAAGAGCTGTATTAAAGCACTGGACTGTTAAAAGACGGACTGTCTGTACTGTAATTTTGCAAATCATGAAATATGACCCATTTGTTCAAATAACGTCATCGATATCTGGTATATATCTACATTGGTTACCATAGTAATGATTTAAGTGTTCACACAACTATAAAAGAGTCTTTTTTGAGAGTAGCTGTTGGTGTGGAAAGAGAAGGAATTTTTCCAAGGTTACTATGACACATCAATACCAAGCAAAATGAGTTCATTCGGACACATCTATAGACACTACATAGCATGACCCATTCTTAATGACTATTTTTGTCATTGTTCTTTTTAAAAAAATATCTGTATAAATATTTTCAAGTAAAAACACTATATATAATGTACAGCGTGCTGAACATTATACTGTATATAATGTTGCGACATATACACTTAAATCACCTGAATCTGACCATTCATACTGAGAAATATTTTCTAAAAATCTGGCTACATTTTTAAGAAGAATTTTTAAAAGGATTTCAAACCACAAGCAAATTTGCTTTGTATCGTGTATAAAAATAGGATTTCATGTTTTTTCCCCAATAAAATTAAAACTTCTCCCTTTTTTAAATTAAATTTTTTTCCAGTACAATTTATATACATATATATATATATATATATATATAGAGAGAGAGAGAGAGAGAGAGAGAGCGAGACAGAGATAGATAGATAGATAGATGGATGGATGGATGGATGGATGGATAGATAGATATACATTTTTTAAAGAACTAAAACTGCATAAATTAAAACTTTTTTAAAGTTCTGTTTTAATATGTATTAAAATGTAATTTATATCCATGATGGCAAATCGGTTTAATTTAAAATAAAAGTTCTATTTTAATACGTTTCAAAATGTCATTTATTTCCGTGATGGCAAAGCTGAAGTCTTTAGTGTCATTCTTCAGAAGTCTTTCTAATATGGTGCTTAATTATTATCAAACATTACGTTGGCTTAGTTATTAATATTGGCTCTTATTATAAATCTTTAAAAAAGTTTTTGTTTTTCAAAATAATTTCTTAGATTTTTGTGAAAACCGTGATACTTTTTTTTCAGAATTCTTTGACAAAAATAAAGTTCAAAAGAACAGCATTTATTTAAAATAGAAACCTTTTGTAATATTGCAATTGTCTTCGATTTCACTTTTAAATAAAGCAGCCTTGGTAAACTTTTGATGATAATGTATATCCTGGATTAAAATGATTATTCTTGCAAATTCAAACAGTTTATGCTTAAGATTCGAATCTTAGTGGGGAACGGGGAAAAAAAATACATAATGTTCTCTCTACAGCCCTGAAAGACAGCGGAGACCAGGACAACTAGATGAGCCCCAGATACAGATCCCCTGTAAAGACCTCGTCTCAGACGACCACCGGGACAAGACCACAGGAACCAGTTGAGTCCTCTGCACAATGTGACATTGCTGCAGCCTGAAATTGAACTGCTGGTTTCGTCTGGTCAGAGGAGAGCTGGCCCTCCGACTGAGCCTGGTTTCTCCCAAGGTTTATTCTCCATTCTGTCACCGATGGAGTTTTGGTTCCTTGCCGCTGTCGCCTCTGGCTTGCTTAGTTGGGGACACTTCATTTCCAGCGATATCGTTGACTTGATTGCAAATGATTGCAAAGATACTATTTAAACTGAACTGAGCTGGATGTTGACATCACTGAATTCAATGATGAACTGCCTTTAACTGAAAAATGAGTGTTTACTATTGTCATTTTGCATTATTGACACACTATTTTCCTAATCAATGCTGTTCAGTTGCTTTGACACAATCTGTATTGTTAAAAGCGCTATATAAATAAAGGTGACTTGACTTGACTTGACTCTAGAAATAAATCTTATTATGTGACACAATTTTGCTGGGATGCAGGATATTTTTTATTTATTACAATGTAGTGTCATCAGGGCTTAGAGCATCTTTTGGCCTAAATGTTAAGTGTAAAGAAATCGGTTCCCTTCCCCTGCCTACAACCATAAGATGGCCACTTTATTTCTCTCTTCCTAGTTACTGCAACAGTTTTGACAGGTCGAAGCTATCTACAGTGCACTCTCTTCATGCCTGGCAGACCTAGTCCAAATCTCCACCCCCTTTCCTGAGCAGCAGCCAGGAAGTGTCTCCCACTGGATGTTACGTGGACCAAAGCACCATCTGGTGGCAGGCATGCTTATAGTCAACTCACCGGTCCACGGCTTCAATGTCAAAACAGAACCTCTTCTCGATGGAGTCTGTTTTCCTTCTGGTGCAAGATTTCAGCGTAAAGCTTTCCTCATCTCCCTGAAAAGAAAAACATGGTTTACTATAGGCCCAAATTTTGGCACCACATTTTCAGCATTTCACTTATTCGGCTTTTATGTGAGCCTGGACGGCCGACAGGAAAATGTGACCAGATGTTCTATATTTACCAACTACACGGTCATCACATAAATGATTATATAAATGAATGATAAAGTGTCAGGTTACTCCCTATCTTGTTGCAAAGCGTGGCCAAGGAATGGGTGTTCAAATGCGGCCAGCTATTTTTATTCCAACACTTCACAGCTCTTTTACCGACTAGCAACACATTACACACATACCTCTGGAGTTCATTTACCAGAGCGCCGTCGTTCTCTCCTTCAGTGACCTCCTCACTGACAGTCTAATTGTTTCTATCACGCCACTCTGCTAAGTGACTTCTCTCTAGTTTTTCTTCTCTTTTCACATTGCAGAAAAGGCGATAGCGTAATGCTAGCGCAAGGACTAGATACTAAACAAACTGAGTATGCTTACAGAATGCAATGTCTGGAGAGGTGAAACAAGGGTCCCTGTGAGCACATTTAGTCTACAATAAGTCTGTAAGTCTGCATATATATATATATATATACAATAAATTCACCGTTTGGGACAAGGTAATATTTTCAGCGATAAAAGCGTTAGTATTTGAACCCTTCGCATTCAAACCCTTAACCTGAAGTATTTCAATTTGGTGCATAACACATCCCACATCGTTTGTGCTACAAACATGACTTATGAAATTGTGTGGCTTGTTGAGAAGAGCTGTGCTAGCCTATTACTGTTGTAATTGATAAGACCAACAGCTGAAAAAAATCTTAATTTGATGATTAAAAGATGAACGAAGATCTTACGGGTTTGGAACGACATGAGGGTGAGTAATTAATGACAGCATTTTCATTTTTGGGTGAACTATCCCTCTAAGTACCTTGCATCACTATTAACTATTAGTAAGCTGCAATTAGCAGTTTATTGAGGTAAATGTCATAGATAATAGTTAGTTCATACTGAGAACTGGTCTCCAAGCTAAAGTGTAACCCAATGTTATTCACTTCACCTGTCAGTGGTTTTAATGTTTAATCAGTTTATATCGCTCACTTATGATAATATCATGCCAAATATGTTGAAGATTGGTGGACAGGCAGTCAATTTGGTTTCCACACAGTGTGCTTAAAAATATGAATTTGTGATTCCTGCTTGTAATCCCTCTAGCCAATTTGCCTGCTAAGCCTCCATTATAAGTCTATTACTGTCATAACAACTCTCGGAGGGATTGGCGTGGTAATGTACACGACAATGTTAATGTATTTGGTCTTGGCGGAATAGATCTGTTACGCTGCTGCTACGGCAGAGCAAGTACCGAGATTTGATACTGCCAATACATCCACAACATGCTGCTGTGAGCATGTAAGAAATACTGCTGCTGCACTTATAACAGATATGAATAACCCCTATATAGCATACATGAATCACCTCGTAGCAGATCTATACAGGTGGAGCTGGGGAAGGTGGAGGGTTTCTGAAGTGTGCTGCAAACTGCTACAGCAATATTGAATATTGAGCAGCGAGCTCATTGGCTACCGATACAGGAGAGAACCAATCAGCTGCCATGTGACAATGATGTCGCCAGGTCAGACTGAGTTAGACCTATTGGACTGCGCCATCTAGAGTTTCATGCCAGAACTCTGTATTTACTGTAAACATGTTCATTTTTACTATCTGAAGGATGAGCTGAAATGACTGTTGTAACTGACATGTCACAGATGCAATACATAAACATTGGGTTGAAAACCAAAACAGAATAGTAAATGTGAAAACTTATATGATGTATAGGATGTTTATTGTTAATGTTTATTAAACTGGGACAAAAAACAGGATTCTATTTCAAATGTAAAATTTGACGAATTTGATGAATGAAATTTATTTTTAAGCACTAAATATAACGTGTAAATATATACAGGGGTGCACATATGTTTTTCAGTCAGGTTCTCATGAGAGCACCTGGAGATTTGGTTTGGTGCTCACACTGCACATAGTGAGACCAATTAAAGTTAACTATAAAAAAAATTATAATTAATAATACTAATAATAGTTTTATTGAACTTTAGTTATTTTTTTAAATAAAATAAATAAAGTGTGATAACACTATTATATTTTATATGTGAGTATTAAATAAAAATAAAAAGTGAAGCGCGTCGGTGAATGAAGCATCACACTTTTGCATTTTGCTGTGAAACTATTCAAATTCCAACTCGAAAGCTATTTTCATGTCTGAAAAATGGCTGCCCACTGCTCCGGGTGTGTGTTCACTACTGTGTGTGTGCACTTTGGGTGGGATAAATGCAGAGCACTAATTCAGAGTATGGGTCACCATACATGGCCACACGCCACTTCACTTCACTGTATTCGATTTTTATTTTTTTTAATGACAATAAAACACATTTTCTGTTTGCTTCTCTCTTGCGATTAGCAGGTTTGAGTGTCTAGCACGGGGTAGTAGTGTCTGGTCGGAATGTAATCAGGCAGCATGCAGTCCCTGGTGCGAGAGTCGTGCTATTGACCCTGCGTGTGTGGCTGTGCAGAGCGGGACGGGCACAGAGCCAGGTGCCGACACTGGTGCCAGCTCAACGATGCGATACGCAGCTTCTCGTGCCAAGATCAGAGTCTTGTCAATGCCAGCATTGAGGAACAAACACGTGGCTTGTGCCAGTATCCACTCTCCAATCCAAAGGTTACACATACTGCTGAGTGAAAGGGTGCGAGAGGGACTGTATGTGACAGAGAAAGAGAAAAAAGAACTACTTACATTTTTGGCCACAGACTTCTGATCAAACAGCATCATGGTCATGCGTTTGGGCTCTCGGTGATAGATGCAGTAGTACTTCACCCATGTGGACACGAAGGAACCTGATTTGGTAAAAAAAACAGGGAGCCATGTAAGAAAAAGACAGATAAACAGTAAATGGATCACAGATTTCAGTGTTCATGTGCCTCCAGAAACGGGGTTGGGAAACACTATTTTAAGCAATTCAAGTTTTGTGTGTGATAGAGAAGGAGAGATATGGTAAAATCTTTGAAGGCTTTGGTTATGTAAAACTTTGAAGCATTTATGGAAAGGAAAAGAACAGAGTGAAGTGAAATGCAATACTGTGCAAGAGCATAACAGTTGCTGCCCATTTTTTCACCACATTTGGGATAAAAGGGATATATTCATTTCTTAATAGAGATTTCAAAAAATCTTCAGTAAAGAGCTCAAAGCCATGAAATACCAACCCAGGCTCATTGCAAAAACATGCCTTTACGTGTACTTAAAAAAGAAAAAGACGACGAAAAAAAAAACATGAACACTGTTGGCAGTAAAACACCAAACACTTATATTCCTTTTCACACAAATTATGATTATAGGGCCAAAAAAAATCAGGTGATGAAGACTCATTTTCATTTGCAATTTCTTTGCACAACCCTTTTTTCTATCACCTTAAAATACCTTCAGCATAGTGCATGATTTGTAAACCAATAAATTTTTTAATGGACATCACATATTCAGCTCTCGGTGTATGGATTTTCTGCTGTAGTAAACTTGCTCGGTAGCTCACCTGGTGCACCAGTGCACTTGCAATGCGTAGCACTCAGCTATAAGTCTCATGAAACATGGTTCGATAAAAAAGCTCAAAACAGTGTAAAAACATGGTAAAATGAGAAAAAGAAAACGTTCTTTTTTTAACACCAACGGTTTGGTTCAGGGTAGGATTTAGTGAAGGGAGCATGTTACTTTTAAAGGCAATAGAGCATTAACCTTTCAGCGCCGCAGACAGGACTTTTCATTTATGAACTGCTATGATACACAGTTGGCACAGTAACATTTATCTGTTCGGTGAAAACTGAACATGCTTTATTTTCATAGACATGAAGCACTGTGGATAGTAAAGCAATGAAATCATATAAAAATAACAATAGCCTAGGAAAATAAGATAACTGACTTAGAGTCAGTAATAAGTATAAAATACATTACATTTTAGGTGTACTGCTAAATATTTAGATATATACAAATATACAAGCCGTTTGAGAATGCAGGGAGAATAATGATGTTTAATGACGTCAATCTCAATGCTTCATGGTAGTGGGGATACCAAGCTGATTTGTGATGCAATTTTTGTGTCCATGTGAACAGAGACTTCTCTGAATGTTGGCTTGCCATTTAGGACTGTGGGTACACACACACATTTTATTATTTTATTTGGATCCAAAAGACAAGCAAAGAAAACGGAATCCAAATACCCTGGGAAGTCATTTTGCATGATGACAGGTAAACATGGCTAAAATGTTATATGTAGAGATTTGCATGTATGTATGTATACATCCATATTCATTTTAAACTGGAAATTCAGTACTTACCATTTTTAAAGCAGTTACAGTGGGTAGTTTCACACACATAAAATTAAACTTTATCAAGTAGTGTGTTTGAGGGTGGATGCTGAAGCTCTCATACCATCCCCATATATGCTTGCAAGTACATTCGACGGTAATATTTTAACCATTTTTCAAAAACAATATACTGTAAGTAATTACGAAATTACTTATACAGGTGTGCACAAGCTAAAATGTTATATGTAGAGATTTGCATGTATGTATGTATACATCCATATTCATTTTAAACTGGAAATTCAGTACTTACCATTTTTTAAGCAGTTACAGTGGGTAGTTTCACACACATAAAATTAAACTTTATCAAGTAGTGTGTTTGAGGGTGGATGCTGAAGCTCTCATACCATCACCATATATGCTTGCAAGTACATTCGACAGTAATATTTTAACCATTTTTCAAAAACAATATACTGTAAGTAATTACGAAATTACTTATACAGGTGTGCTAAAATCTTAAGTTCAACAAATTGCATTTTAATTGCAAATAACATGCAATTAAATGTCCGGAAACATTACATTCAGATCCACACTTACGCACATTCTTTTAAAGTACACTATTTGTGTAATAAGTACTTTTAAGCGATGTGTACTTTACAATGGCTCATTCTTTGCTTTTCTGCTTTAATTTTCTTAAGGGCCTTAGCCTCTGAACTCCAGACATCTGTAAGTGTCTAATAACCAGATGCACATCCACAATAATGGACAAAAGCCACTGGGTGTGTGAGAGACGAATTAGTCATTATTAGGGAATCAAGCTGCATGCATGAGCTGCAATGTTGGCAATAAATATGAACCATTGTTAAAAAAATAAATAAAAAAAATGATTTGCTACGTGTTTTACAATTTAAACAGATTTATTGCATCTGTTTGTATTCATCATGAACAGCATTACAATAAGTGTTTACACATCATAACCAACAGATGGCAGTGCTGTTTAAACAAGTTACAGCAGTTTCTTAGAAGCACTTTGCTCTGTGATGGCTTGGCCCACAATTAATCTGCAGGTTTTGACTATGTAACATTAATCGTAAGTGACAAATACGCCTTCGAACAAGGTACTTCTTGATAACTGAAAACAATAAGCCTCTCTCTGCTATGAATACCATTACAGCATACAGCGATTATGAAGCATTCTGCTCTCACCTTTGCAGCTCCAATCTGCTCCTTCCTGAAACGCTCCAGTGGCGAGATCAATACATCATTGGCATTTTCAATCTGAGGAGACACAGGTCATAGAGTTCTTTTTACCATCTATCATCATCGTTTCCCCCCATTTATCATCATTGCTTGTCACCAATCTTTGCCACGTACGTTTTGAGAACTGCTTACTCTCACTAAAAACTAAACGGATTAATATTTATATCCATTGAAGTTAATGTTAAATATCTAAATATATATATCAAATCATCCCCCAGCCCTAGTACTGCTTTCATGTTAAAGCACTAAGACTTTATACTGTAGACATGACAGTATGATTATTCATTTATGTATGTGTTTATTTATTTAGTTTTGTCTGTGCATCACACATATGGCCACACAGATTGCTCTGGTAATTGTAGAAATTGAGAAAGTTAACCTTTTTTTAGACGGATGGATGGATGCAATCCAAACCAAGTCAAAAGGTACGATTATTCATAAAAGCTGCTTCACATTTTTAACACTTGAGTTACAAACAAAAGACTGGAAACAGTAATGAAATATAAGCATGACTGGATTGGCCATGTTTATAGCAGTTGAACATATTATAGAAGGTGGCGGCTCATCAGGGGAGGCACAGCTTCCCCATAATTTGGCAAACGTGCCGAATCTGCTGATGTAATTGCAACCGCTAAGTAATAGAGAAGGGTAGGGGAGGCCGGGGGAGAGCTGAGCTCTCGTGCCTCCGTTGGTAAAAAAAATTTGCCAATCACCATCGAGTGTTCACTTTCAGCGCTGAGGAGTGTTGAGAAAAGAACCCTCGCAGGGGAGGCTAGCCTCCTTCTGATATCAACCAATCATCATAGAGACGTAAATTACGTGATATTAGTTTGAACGTCTGCCGCTGTGCTGATAATGTACCAAGTACTAATGATGAGTAGCGACATTGAATATTTGATTGCCAACAGTTTTACCAAGCTGTCATTTGTATATATACAAATTATCCTAACTGGATACAGCAGTCGGCTTAATTAAATGGCGCAACAGGCAGCTCTCTTTTAACACAGACTTTTAAGAAAAGATGGATGTTTGCTTCAAGTGATAGGCCAGGTAAGTGAAGTTATATTATCTTAGTTTTCTGTTTCGTGTCAGATTTTGTCAATAACACCAGGGTATTAATGCTATAGCAGATTCTCTTAGATCTCTTAGTGTTATTTAGTTTATTTAGTCCTCTTATTTTTATTTATTTTCTTGTGAAATACAGAGTTTTGGCATGAAACTCTCTAACTCAATCTGAACTAATGACATCATTATCACATGGCACAGCTGATTGGTTCTCTCCTGTATCGGTAGCCAATGAGCTCGCTGCTCAACATTCAAATGGTGCTTGCCGTAGCAGTTACAGTTTGCTTCAGAAACCCTCCACCTTCCCCAGCTCCACCTGTATAGATCTGCTACGAGGTGATTCATGTATGCTATATGGGGGCTATTTCATGTATGTTATATTTGCAGCAGCAATATTTCTTACATTTAGTCATTTAGCAGACGCTTTTATCCAAAGCTTTTATCCTTACATGCTCACAGCAGCATGTTGTGGATGTATTGGTAGTAGCAAGTCCCGGTACTTGCTCTGCCGCAGCAGCGTAGCAGATCTATTCCGCCAAGACCAAATACATTAACATTGTCATGTACATTACCACGCCAATCCCTCCGAGAGTTGTCATGACAGAACTATATATAAACATCTTCTATGTAAAATATCTTATTCAGAATAATACTAAATAAAAAATAACATGCATTTTGTATGATCCCTCTTATTTTTGGTAAAATAATGAACATTTTGCAGATTCTGCAAGGTGTATGTAAACTTTTGACAACAAATACAAAGTTCTGTCATGAAACTCTAGATGACGCAGTCTGATAGGTCTAACTTAATCTGACATAATGACATCATTATTCACAAGCCGCAACTGATTGGTTCTTTTCGTATCAGCAGCCAATGAGCTTGCAGCTCAACATTCAAATACTCGGCTAGTGCTTGCTATAGCAGTTGCAGTGCGCTTTAGAAACCCTCCACCTTCCCCAGCTCCACCTGTATAGATCTGCTACAAAGTAATTTAATGCATGTTACTGTATATTAAGGGTTATTCATATATGTAATATGTGCAGCAGCAGCAAGTCACGGTACTTGCCCTGCCGCAGCATCAGCATCAGCGTAGCAGATCTATTCCACCAAGACCACACACAATAACATTGTCATGTATATTACTATGCTAAACTCTCATGACAGAACTGTATATCATCATACTGTCTAACTCAGGAAATGAAAGACATGAGAGCAACTTTCATTTTTAGTGAACTATTCCTTTTAACTATTAGTTATAAACATAGTGATAATGAAACTGATGATGGTGAAGATGAAAAAACCTGCTGACCATTCGTGTCCTCTCATCTTCCAGGTTCTGTAAGACTCCAGCAAACTCCTGAAGTGATTTGGCTTTGAAAGAAAAGAAATAAGACTGGTGATCACACACAGCATCTTGACCACATTAGCTTAATTTACATCTTCAAGCAGAGAAGTCAGACATTTGTCATTTTATAATTCACCACGGACAGCCTGAAAATTCAAGTAAGAAATGGTTATTCAAAACCGAGCCAAGAGCAACACTTTCCACAGCACAACTCAGCAAAATTGTGCAATCAGAATTGTGTTTAACATACGTAAGTCTGTGTGACAACCATTAGAATGTGACAACACAGCGCTAGCTTGTTTAGCACTCTTACAAAAAAAAACAGCGGCCAAATACCAAGTTCAACTACCAACTGCAAAGACTGTGTTTAACACCTACAAATAAAAAAAAATGTAAATCTAGGCGAGGTAAAAAAAAAAAAACTGTGATGTGTTGGGAAAAAAAACGTCAAAGTGTTGGGTCTTGTGCAACATACTTTTTTTTTTTTACTTTAGCATACTTTTAAAAAGAGCACTTACTACAAAAATAATATACTTTAAAAGAATATACTAATATGTGGACTGAGTGTAATGTTTTCAGACACTTAATTACATGTTATCTAATGAATATGTATTATAGTTTAAATATATATTAAATGCAATTAGTTGAACTTAAGACTGCCTTTTGACCCATTTAAGTATGACTAAAGTATATCTTTATATGCAATTGTACAATTCTGTTTGAAATATAATTAAAGTGTAATGTTGAATGTACCGACAAGCATTTATGGTAAACTAAACTATACTTTAATGTCATGTATCTAAATTGCAATTACACATTTGTATATTAAAGTTGTATTTGATATTACAACTCTAAATGTAATATCAGATAACACACTACAGTTAAAAATATAATTAGGTCATTTACATGTGCTATATTATGTAAGTCAACACATTAAAACAAGTGTACTTTAAAACATGACATGATTATTAAAACAATTATTTAAAATGTACATTAAAGCTAAATTTTTATTTTGACAATTACAATGTGTCTTTTTAAAAGTCTGTGTTAAGAAAGGCATGACACTGTACTATTTTGAAGTAGTCTTATTTCATTAATATTGTATTATCTGCAAGTGCAGTACTTTAAATGTATATTTAAGGTTTGAAGATGACTACATGTGCACAATTAAGTGCACTTCTTTAGCGTTGTATAAGGGTGCTGCTATGCAAAGTCCAATTATATTAAGGCCATTATATACAACTGACAGTTTTGAAAAGGCAAATACTCTAAACATGTGCAAATGTAATGGCGATTCCACTGCTTAGCACTAGTATTTCTATCATAACTAAAGCAGCAAACTCATCAAACCTCTCAAGATACCCAACTTCAGACATACAGTGGATGCATTACTACGAAAACTTCCAGATGTAATACAGTTTTCATGTTCAACCTCAGAAAGTAAGTAAGGCCATGTCCACACATACACAGGTATTTTTATAAATTTCCATTTTTTTTTAAATCTCCGTCCACATGAAACGCAAATGCATGCTATGAAGCACTGTCAAGAGCATGCCAAACCAACAGGTGGCGATATAATCGCAACCGGAAAGCTATGTTGGCCAATCAGAAGCCTGAAAAAGTCTCCTGTAGGTGGAAATAACAGCGCAGGCGCCGACGTCACAAGCCAAAATCTCCGGTTTCGCTGTCTACACGATAACACTGCAACCGGAGTTTTTGAAAATCTTCACCCTGGCAGGCGTTTTCAAAAATGTTCTATTTTAGTGAACTGGTGCTGCATTTGCGTGTGGACGAACGGCCTAACCACGTAGAAAAAGCTGCGTTCGTGTGGACAGGGCCTAAGACTAAAGGACTGCAAGGCTGCAACTGAAGATGAGATCAGAATAAAGGCAAGTCAATACATGCTCCTTCTTCGGATTTAGCCAAGCAGAATTTCAGCAAGTTTCCATGTAAGGTGCCAGGACTTACAGAAAGCAACAAAAATTCCCACAGGTTCCAACACTTAAGCCTTTGATGCCACACCATCAAGGGGAATTATGGCAAATACACATAAGTTGAGCTGAAACCTTGGTTTAATTGTGGCATAGTAGGGGCTCAATGAAACGGTCGTTGTGGATGGCACTCAGTAAAACCTGTCTTTTTGAGTTAAAAGCTTGTAATGAATACATTGTGCAAGACCTTGAGTGGGATCAGATGGCCATGGATCAATTTGTACTCAATCGATGCCCTTCGGAGAAACAATGAAGAAACTGCTTTAAAGTTGAGTTCAAATGGTTTCTACGAATGTCATTTGTATGACAGCATACATTGAATAACGCTTTGGGGTTTACAACTGTAGTATAATCTTGTGGACACTTTTTGTTTCTTGCATAATACACTGACTAAGGAACAACAAACATTCAAAAGAAACAATGTTATGATCTTACCAATGCATATCTCATCATCTGTTTCTGCATCGCCAATGCACTGGAATTTAAACTCGTTCAGCGACTCTGCAAACTTTCTCTTCGCAGTGGACAAATCTGTAAAAGATGTGACGAGATGTGTTAAAGTTTCTCTGACGAGAATAGCACAAGGTGACAAAACCACAACGTTTTAAGCCAGGAAGCGAGAGAACATGTACTGCACTTTGGAAACTTTGTGGTGTCTGGGTCTTTCAAGACATGCGACTGACAAAGTGAGTAAGAGTTCAGTGAGGAAACGAGAAAAAGAGACTGCGAGGGGGAAAATCGTCCAAAAAAGAAAGCTAAGGAGAGACAGAATGAGCCCAGAAGTCCCTAAAAATAAACACTGTTTGTCGTGGAATGAGAATTTGGCTGGTCAGATCAGATTATAAATCGAAGGCAGACCCCTTGGTTTCAGATTGCCATAACTTTGGAAAAAATGTTTTTCAGAATAACAAACAAATGAGAAACTTGCACAAAAATGAGCCGAGCTGGATGTCAACCTCAGTAGCACTTTTTAGTTTGAGGTAAATTGCATATACTGTACTTTAATAGGAATTCATTATATTTGGAAATTGCAAACCAGTTCTATAGACTCTATATCTATACAAATCATATGATTGTTTACTCATTAAGATCAGCTGAATTAAATGATAGATCAACTGAATGGGAAGAGATGCAATTGAATAGTTTGAAAGTAATAACATTATGAAATCACTGTGATTAAAAAAAAAAAAATCCACTTTAGTTTAGGGACCAATTCTCAATTTTAACTGGTTGCTTATTAGTATGCATATTACTAGCATATTGTCTGTTATTAGTACTTATAAAGCACATATTAATGTCTTATTCTGACCATACTTAGATTCCTTAGTCCTACCCCTTACCTAAACTTACCTTACTAACTATTAATAAGGAGCAAATTAGGAGTTTATTGAGGCAAACATTGTAGTTAATAGTTAGTTAATAGTCAGAACTGGTCCCAAAACTAAAGTGTGACCAAAAATGTATATAGATGAAACACGCATTATGTGTAGTGGAAAGGATACTTTATAATTTTGTGTATTGTACTAACAATTGAAAATATGCTGGAATGCTTGAAAAAAACGTTATCTGACTTGTACTAAAAGTTTTGAAAATGTACTACTTACTTGTACTACATAAATACTACTACTACTCCTACTAATAATAATAATAATAATGTAAAATTCCTAGAGCTCTGTTAAGGAATTTGGCATAGCAGTTCTTTTTAAAAGTATCACTCATAGCGATATGAACCAAACATTCTGTATGTGATTGTCAAAGTGTCAAAATCAAAAGCACATTTTGGGCAAACTGGGTGTAAGCTCCATCCAATACAAATGACACAAGTGATACAATTGATAATCAACTCAAGGGCAAGTTTGCCAGTAACAAATACATTATTCTTTTCTCAGGACATGCATTTACTTATTGTGAAACATATTGACCCAGTTCTTCATGGAAAGAAATATGATTTTGTTTGGCAATGGCTTGCTTTGGCTTACCGAGCTAGCAGGTTACAATGCATGAACAAAACTGTAAAATAGTTAAACATGCAACAATCTCTACTAACAAAATTCACACCAATTACCAGTTAATTTATGACAGAAAAATACAACAGACATCTCATGGGTATGTTCAATAGCTGTGACGAGTGGGGGCGGGGCCGAGAGCCGTGGGAACGGCGCGAGGCCGGTGGAGTAATTGATAATGAGCGACGCCTGCAGCACTAACCGGTCTCGAGTCTCACGGAGGAGCTCCGGAAGGATTAAAGGAGGAGTGACGACAGTGAAAGAGGAGAGAGGACCAGGCCAGGACTCGAGACCGGTGAGTGGTGCAGGCGTCACTCATTATCAATTACTCCACTCGTCACAATAGCATATTAGTTTTTGCTTTGGTATCAATAATCATTTAATTTAACTTGAGTATTGGGATCGACTGCTAATATTTGGGTAAAGTGACAACCCTACTTCCCAACAAATAGCCTATCAATTTGTTATCTACGGACGCAGTTATTTTAGCACTCGGAAATCCAAGAATTGATATTTAATTAGTGACCAGCGCTAAAAATAAGCAGCTTCTGTTGGCATCCACATTCGTCAACATGCGCTCTAAGAATACAGAATTCCCCAAAAATGTTTCTCCTCCAGTGTTCTCTGCTTCCTGCCTTCCGCCCGGCGACACAGTGGTGCCGTCCAAGGAAGGAATGCACACATACAGTTGTATATGCATGCACAAACACTCACAGATACAAGCCAACGGGAAATCAAATAGAAAGATACAGCATTTTTCTTTCCTAAGGCTCCAGTGGAATGCTGCTGACGCTGCATCATGTGACGTCTGAGCTTTAGTTAACATGTTGCTTGTCTGCAAAGTAAATTTCCTTTACGTTTTAGAGGCTTTTCTAAGCGAAAATAACCATTGTCATGTCATAAAAGGTCAATTTAATTTTCTGATATTATCAGAGACTTCTTATAGACCTCTCTATGACGTAGAACCTAATAACCTAAAACTATGATGTGAATGTCACCAAGAAATGTCTGGGTTATTTTTACATTAGTATACATCTGTAAAGCTATGGAAGCCTGTTTCCAACACTGAAAAAAAAGTGACTTTTTATATCACAATTCTGACTTTTTTCTCAGAATTTTGACACATAAATTCACTATTGCGAGTTCTTGGGCGCTATTTTAACGATCTAAGCACATGGTCTAAAGCGCACCGTGCAATTGTGCTTAGGGTGTGTCCGAATCCACTTTTGCTAGTTTAAGTACGGGAAAAATGGTCGGCGCGCCCAGCGCATGGTCTAAAAGGGTCCTCAAAACATTAGATACATCCGCCAGAGTACGTGCCAGAGTACAACCCACACAAGGAAGATAATTTCGCAAGTAACTGCAATTCCAAGTTTTCAAACAGAGATGGCAACAAAGAGGCAAAACTTACGGACTGCAGTTTTAAAATCCATACGCAAATAAATAGAAAAACGAATGACTCAATGAATGAATGAATAGTTAGTTAGTTAGTGTCATTAACCCAAACTCTATTTGAACCCAGTTCATGATAGGAGTATTTCATATACACAAGGAACAATGACATGCAATTGAATGCTGTTGCTACTTCCTTAACTTGCAGTGTTTACACGTCCACAGTGACAATCAGATGTTGAAGGGAGAAAATGGAAACACTTGAAGTATGTAATCTGCACTTGTTTGGAAAGTTTCCTGTCCTGGGATGAGACGGAGCGCTGCTGGTGTGGAACGGATACCAGCTGCTGTCTGCAGGGAGCTCGCATTTGTTTTTATGAGGGAGGATCGGCCCTCCCAAATCCTTCATCATCATGCTCATCAACGTGTTCAGATGTTCCTGAACACGTGCTTTTTTGTGGCAGTGGTTTGAAATCATTAGAATGAGATACAAGTGGCTTCATTTCTAATGAACGAATCATAAAAAGACCTACAGCCGTCTTTCTGACTAGTATTGAGGAGTACTCTAAAAACATCAACCGTACGACAATAACTACATTTGTAAGCAACTTGACAGGAGCTCGGTTTGCTTTCTTTTTTTTTGCCCCCCACTAGAAAATGTCAGTGTCGTTAGCATTTGGTTAGCTGCTTTATGGAAAGGGTAGCTTTAAGCACATGAAATCTTATAGCATATTGAAATACAGTTTCATCTCAACATATTTCTCATGCTTCTCAACATGTGTGCAGTGCAAAAGTCTGCAGTGTAACCTGGAAGTGTTTTGGAATGCTAACAGAAAGATGTCATGGCTGAGGTCCAGGAGCACATAACTCAGCTTCAGCCAAGTGAAGGAGTGTAATTTGTCTCTAAAGACCATTACGGCAGGGCAGACACTTAGCAGTCACTATGTACAAACCACTGACTCTGTTAAACATATGTATGGCTGTTACGCATTCACAACTATGTGCCAAAACCTGCATCATAAACCTAAAAATCACTGTCTAAAGAGAGCTGTTCAAGTTTTTACTGCAGATTTTGCTAAAAACTAAAATTATGGGCAACTTCAAATTCATAGAGTATGCTTTGCCGAAGCTGTGAAATTGACTGCAAATGGAAAATGGAAATTGAATTAGAATAAAATGTAATGGAATTTTAAAGAAATTTGGTTTATTGGTTTTTGGAAATATTGGTTTATTTAAAAAGTGCAATTTCTTTACAAAATTACAAAAAAGTATCTTGTCGAATATACTGACAAGCATTTACGGTAAACTAAAATATACCATAACATCATATCTATTAATTATATACCATGTATTGAAATAAATCTGTACTGTAATTGCACATTTGTAATGATTAAGTTAGTAGTACATGTAGTATATGTAAAATATATTAACTAAATGTAACAACTAACACCCTACAATGAAGAACTATGCAAAATAAGTCTGCTTTATAGCATGACAAGAGTATTAAAACAATTATTTACTGTAAAATGTACTTTAAAAATTGCCATTATTACAAAATGCTAATTTTAACAATTATATGCAAGTAGTGTTTTTAAATATACTTTTAAGCTTTGTAATACACTACAAGTGCACATTATTTTATTTATTTATTTTTATTTTTACAAGTTATGTGGCACATGCAAGAGGACCATATTTGATTTTGAGAGCTACAGTGCAAATTATCAGTGAATAATGCACATGTTGGTCTGTTCCTCTCACAAAGCTATTGTATGAATCGAAGTGTATGAGTCACATAGGCTGCTCAATGATACTTTCCGAGGCCTTTCTTACTTTCATTATTTTGCAGTGCACAACAAATGGGTAAATGATGACAACATTTTCTAATACATTAATTCAGAAATGTTCTTACATCTATTAATATAGAGAAGAACAGATGATAAAAGCCTTTGTGATGGAAGCCGGTGAAGACCTGGAAGACGCATCTCTCCAGATGGTCCAAACTGCAGAGCTTCCATTACACACAGCACTTTACCAGCAGGGAGCTGTACTGGGCCACACAGCGAGAGCTAGTCAGAAGCCCAAGTCTACTCAGCAAAACACCACCACATCACTGCTAGACACACACATTATAAT